CGATGGGAGTGCAGTGGATATCTTCGTACCGTCTCCAGGCTGCAGGCATCTCTCATCTTACACGCTGCCACGACGCTACACATGCGTTCTTCAGCTTGAAGCACACCGCCGTGCTCGAGATTCTCCCCAGCCTTTACTCGAACGCTGACCTACAGTTCGCTGAGGATAGGATCACAACGGCCTTATTCCTTCTAGAAGATGAATCTGGAACTTTTTGGATGCGAAACCACGAGGGGGTCTTTCCAGGTGACGTAGGAGCTACACTGGTCTTTGCTCGAACGTTCAGCCCGCCCGTGATTGAGAATATTGCAGACACCTGCATGTTAAATTGCTGGTATCGCGCCGTTGAAGTGAATACCCCCTTGGGACTCTGAGGACATCCAGCAGATGGCACTCACGGGGTTCGTAGACGATCTCGCCAACAAGGTTCTTGAGATCAATGTTGCAGGCACGTCGTTGGGCAAGCTGGAATCAGGGAGCCGCCAAGAGAACATATCCGTCGACTTAGGCATGCGCGTCGTAGGAGCTTCACAGAACATAAGCAAACAAGAGAACGTGGCGCGCACATCATCAGTAGACTCATCCATAAGAAGCACGCGAACATCGACGGCGCGACTATGCATCACGTGCGATGTCTAGGTGGACTACAAACAAGCACGTTTTCTCCAGCTCCCGAATTATCCAAAAGGTTGAGGGCCCTGCACGCGGCCCATTACTCCATGGGGCGCTTCTGGACCACCAAGGGCATCAAGTTCGTAGTTAAGAGATATATGCTAAAGGGCTTACTCGTCAACACTGCGTTAAGTGGTCTTGAAGTACTTGTGAAAGGCACGGAGCCGCTCACCAGCAGCGACTTGTCCGTGCTGGAGTCCTTTATCGCGCGCAAAGGACGCGCGATCTTGGGAGGCACTGCTGAATGGAGTAATGAAGCCGATCATGTTGTCACCTGCTCCGCCCACGATGTTCTTCGTAAATTTCGAGTTGCCCCTTTCTTTCTGGAACTCCGGATACGGAGACTCAAATGGTTGCAGAGCGTGGTCAGGGAGCGTGACAACAATCGGCAGCTTCTCTCTACCTGCGTTGGGGAATCCCCCGTCGATGGTGCTGGGTTCACCGAGAGCGGAGCTATACATGTTCACGCTCATCCCTGGGCCAGACAGCTGGAGCAGGACGTGCTTGCCTTGCGTGAATTAGAGAGTGGAAAAAATGTGGGAGTACGGGGGCACCATGTATAACATACTTTTCGATGAGTTTGAAGACTTCGTGAACTTAGATTGCGATGAACTTAGAGCTGTATTCTTAACATATAAGGACCCTGGGCCCACAGCTGAGCATGAGGGAGGAGGAGGAGAAGGAGCTTATGCATGTCAAGAACTATTAGAAGATGGAACAATATGCAACAGCAAATGGCCCAGCAAGCATGCCCTCACGAAACATATTGCAAACGCTATTGGTGGAACTCACGGCAAGCTGAACATCGGTCGCATTCCCACTATCACAAACAGCTGCCCCATCTGCAACAGCACGTTTAGGGACAAGTACGTGGCAAAGCAACATGTATCGGCTAGTCTTCGTCGCCAGTATTGCCCGGCGAACAGGGGGCGGTTCGAAGACAACGTCATTGTCCCGAGCACTATGGAGTGCCCGATTTGCTCTGAGACGTTCGATGATCTGACACTTTGGCTCAATCACGCCCGCGAGCACCTTTCTCCGCTACTGCAACCAGACTTTAACATTCGAGAACCTCGAGGGAAGTTCATTGCGGACTCCAGAGCCACCCTCGAGCCCGCCGAGAGCTCCTGGAAGAAGCTTTACGACAAGAACTGGACACCACAGTTTCGAGGACCGAAACATGCCCGAGGGAAACCAGGACGAGCAGCCCAAGAAAGCGCGGCTAGTTCGGGACAGGTCGACGAGCTTCGCAGCACCTGGAGGGCGGCCCAAGATGGCGAAGACAGGCGGAGCCGAGGAGGGCGAGGAGATGGACATGGAGACAGACGAGACGTACGCGGCCATGAAAGCTCTGATCGTACAGCTCGAAGCTCGAGTCCGTGCATTGGAACGCGAAGCGATGAGCACAGCCATGCTCGACCGCAAGCACCAGCTCGTGATCGACTGCAACAAGTCCTACCAAGTGTTCGTGAAAGCTCGGAAGGAAGACCCCCAGACGGACCTAGGCTCGCCAGCCTCCCAAGCTGCTTACAGCACTCTACTCGTTTTGCAGAGCTGGCCCTACAAGGACGGCTCGGCTCGTCGCTTGAAGGTGAAGTTCGCAATCGACGTGCTCGTGGAAATTATTCGCACAGGCGGACCAGAAGCGACAGCAACGTGGGTAAAGGAAGCAGCAGTGTTTCCGACGCACGACAAGCCAGGGCAACCACAGAAGAGCATATTCCCATGCAAGTTCCTCGGGCAGGTACTGATGCCAGACGACGAGGCGCAGCAGAAGGAGATGATCGCGGCGATGAAACAAGAAGAGCACCCTCTGCGCGCAGTCAGCCCGTTGGAGATCCCAACAACGTTGTTGCAGCTAAAAGGTACCCTCTTCGCGGTCGAGGCCGCGGTCGGCGAGATGGTGCGCCACAGCGGGGCCAAGCTGATGATGCGCAAAGCACCCCGATGCAATCTGGCGCACAAGCTGATGCCTAAAAGGCGAAATGGAACGCAGTGATTGCAGCATCGTACACAGCAGCAGAAACATATATGTAATGGTGAGTTTCTCTTTTATATTTGAGGCCACGCGCTGTTTCCCCGTCTCGTCGCCATTCCCCGTTTTTGCTCGGGTCCGTCTCGCTTTGTGGGCTCATGGGCCCGCCCCTCGGCCGAGGCCTAACGGCCGAGGCCCATGGGGGTCGGACTCTGGCTTGAGGCCTTGATCCTCCCTGGGGTGCTCCTGTCTCTCTTGAGCCCGTCTCAGCCTTGAATGCAGAGATTTGGCGGCTACCATGGCTTTGTCCTGCAAGGATCGGGCCACTGGTCTGCTGCTATTGGAGTGGCTACCCCAGATGTCGCTCACCACGCCTACGGCCTCTCCTTCCACCTGCCCCACCACCTGCAGGCACCGTGCTTCTGTTCTGATGTCATGACGGGGCATCGCAGTGAGGTAAAGGTCTCACGCGAAGCGTCAGCGACGATGCGAGACCTGTCGGCTCGGCAAATGCTAGCAGCTACCTCACCTCGGTCCTCCTTGTGCCCGCCTGGTCTGGCCGAGTTCGGCCCTTGGCCAGGCTCCCGTGCAGCGGCCTCCTCGCTACACGGTCATCTGCCACTCTTTGAGTGCACGATGCGCCGATCGGAGTTGCGAAGTAGAGGGTGACAACGCATAATGTCGTTTTACACCCCCCCCCCAGGTTCACGAACACGCATTGTGATAGAGGATTGAACTGAATGGGTGAGAGCGAGCTCCTCCTCCTCCTCCTCCTCCTCTCCTCCTCCTCCTCCTCCTCCTCCTCCTCCTCCTCCTCCTCCTCCTCCTCCTCCTCCTCCCCCTGCTCATCCTCCTGACTCCTCCTCCTCCTCCTCCTCCTCCTCCTCCTCCTCCATACACAGCTGCTGTTTTCAGACTGCGCGTAGTACTTTGGTGTCCTTTTGGGGTTTCCAGGTTCGCTATGGCACCCGTTGTGCGCGAAGTACTTGCAGTAGGTTCCAGGGCAGACAAACACAGTGACGGTAAGGCAGCTCTTGGGGCATAGCCGAGTCGAAATACATAAATATACATATATATACATACATATACACACACATCAGGTCAATGGGAAGGGATGGGCGTGAGGGGTAGTATGTCAGATATGGCCGGAGCGCACCTCGTTTTCCCTCCTTCTTCTCCACCCCATCCTTCGCCTCGGACTTCACGGCGCCCCCAACCCTACCTGCTACATAGATAACGCTCATGGAAATGGCCATGGCTGCGCAGTTGGTTGCGCCGTGGGGGGCGAGGTCCAAGCTGGATCCGATGATCTGCGTGAGACACGACTCCGCGGGACCTATCAGGCGCCCACGAAAGTGGCGGCAGGTGCGCAGTTGTCAGCGCCATGGGAGTAGATGTCCCATTTGAATCTGCGTAAAACATCACTCCGCTGGACCTCCCAGGTGTCCACGAAAGTGGCGACAGGTGCACAGTTAACATTATCCTTAAGTCGGGCACGTCCCTCTGCAGGAGGAATATACCACAAATAATCCAAAGACAGTCTGGGGACGATGTTTTGACTATGTTTGAGCACATGTTAAACATTCCTGGCGTATTTTAGATTTTTCGCCCAACATCCACCAGTAGGGGACATGCCCGACATAGCATTATCCAGGGAAAAAAGGGGAGGCGGCACGAGGAAGACAGTGAAACGAGGAGGAGGGGAGGACGCGTGCAGGGATAACAGAGAGCGAGGAAGCAGGCGGGAGGGATGAGGCGGGAGGGGGAAAGGAATGAAGGACGGAGGAGGCGGAGGAGGAACGACACGACACATACTGTTCAAGACGAGGACCCATACACAGGAGGATTGGGAACTAGAGTCACGTCTGCTTTGCTTGTTCTTGGATGTCTGATTCCGCGGGCCGGGCTGCGGCCCCTGGGCCCTCAAACACGGCCCAGCTAGGATGAGAAGCAGTTTCCTTCCATGTTGTCGATGCTTCTCGAGCCCTGCCTGGGTCCTCTGCCTCCCCCACCCTCCTCCTGCTGCTTATCGTAAGTCGGCTCCTTCTCAACGTCCTTGACCTTCTCCTCGTCTTCCTGCGGCTCTTCGACTGGCTCCTCCTCCTCGCCCTCTCACCCTACTTCTCCGCACCCTCGTTATCCTCCTCGCGCTCGGATCTGCTCCTTTTCCTCATCCTTGTCGTGGCTGGCCTTCTTCTGTTCGTCAATCCTTTCCCCCCCCTGATCAGCTACTTCTCTTCGTACCCCCACGACGCGTCGGTAGGGCTGTCTAGGCGTGTCGCCTGAGACGCCCCTACGTTATATGACCGCGTGGCTTGACAAATCCAGCAATCACGCGGATGGATTGCGGGCCATTGTTTCAAGGTGCTGTCATGTACGAAAGTCTGCGACGTTCAACTCACATACGTATTTTGAGCAGGTGGCTTTCAACATCTGATTACTTCTTGAGGCAGTATTGCGCCTTTTAGTGTTGAGGGTTGAACGGCTTATGAGCTACACGGTTGGAAGGCTACTTGTGAACCAAATATCGTTTTCAGTTTGATACGCCATACATGCATGCTCTATATATGTGCATATATACATATATATGTACACCCACGAAGAGCTCACACTTCACATCAGCTACACAAACCCAGGGTGGTTCCTTCGCCTGCGCCCGTACAGTTCACAGCACCCTAGCATGATATTGCATCAGCTGCTTGGCTGGAGGGCTCGTTCTTTTCGAATTCGTGCTTCCGTTCTGGCGTCTCACGCGTTCAGCTAGATGTACCCAGCACGATTACATCTGAGTCTCCGCGTGTGTCGCCAATCTGTGCGGCCGAGGTGCCCGTTGCACAGCAAGCATTCTTCTCACCACTGCGGTCCTGCCACTTGCGCCTATTTTTCCATCCCTTCGCGAGAACGGCCGTTGCTGGGGGGAGGGCAGGGGGGGAGGGGAGGGGGCTGTTAACGTTACGATTCGCGTCGGCGGCGTATGATTCCCAGACAGCGTCGGCGCGAATCGTGACGTTAGCGGTGGAAGGGGGGGGGAAGGCGTCACCAGTAACGGGCGTTATCGCGACTCGCGCTCAATGGCAGGTCTATTGGGCTTGCCTCTTCCAGCCTCGTCGAGCACCTGGCCTCTGTGGCGTGGCCACACAGCGGCCCCAACGTTCCGACCCTCCCGGGTCGTGGCCCTGTGGCGAAAGCCCGTGGGGCCAATACCTCTCGATGGGCGCCTGCCGCAGTGGACACGGACACTTGCATGACGGGCGGATTTTCCACCACCGCAACCATAGGTAGGACAGGGGAGAAGGGTGATTGGGGAGGTCCTCCTCCTTCTCTTCATCTTTCTCCTCCTCCTCCTCCTCCTGATCCTCCCTCTCCGACCTATCGTAGCGGTGGTGGAAAATCGGCCCATCATTGCAGGAGGGCTTCAATCCGTGCACCTGCACCCGCCCTGGCCAGGCCCACCCCGGGCCCGGCATCGGCGTGCCCTGCCGTCCTCGCAGGGCCACGCGGGCGTACACGTGCCGATCCCGGGCCCAGGAGGAGCCCGCCGCCCGGATCGCTGCAGGAGTGCACGTAGCTGGCGCCCTCCGGAGGGAGCCTGGGACGCGAGGGCGCCTTGCAGCATGCTGCCCGCGGCACGTCCCGCCGCCGTGTCAGCTCAGCACTCGGTCGCGACCGTTCGAGGAGCGCGCAGGAGGCCGTCGCACGCAACCCCTCCTGTCCCGAGGCCTGGGAGAGCCGCAACGTGAGACACGGTCTTCCGCGCCGTACCGGGGTGTCTCTCTTCGTGTGCGTCGTCGTGGTGCTCCTCTCTTCCTACGCACCTGCTCAACTTGAATACTAATCCTCGTCTCTCCCCCCGAAGATGGCCGAGGCCCTGGGGAGTCGCTCGCCCCTCTCCGTGCATGGTTTTCATACAGAACTGCATTATTTGATAGTTTCAAAATTGATGTTTTCACATTCCGGTTGCCTTCGGTCCTTCAAAATGGTGTTGGCCGTTGCAGCGGGCGTCTTAGTTTAGGATGGGCAGTTTGCTCCCGACGTTCAGAAAGGCACCCTCGGCCCAGCGCGGGCGACTTTTCTGGGTCCGACTCCTTCCTCATCGTCGCCGCCCCTCCTGCTCCTGCTGCTGCTGTTCGTCGTCGTCGTCGTCGCTGTCGCCGTCGTGGGTCGTTGTTGTGGGTCGTGGTCGTGGTCGTGGTCGTGGTCGTGGTCGTGGTCGTGGTCGTGGTGGTCGTTGTCGTCGTCGTCGTCGTCGTCGTCGTCGTCGTCGTCGTCGTCGTCGTCGTCGTCGTCGTCGTCGTCGTCGTCGTCCTCAAAACATCAGCGCCATGGGAAGGGACGTGTGGGAGGTGTGGGATGCCAGACATGGCGCGAGCGCACCTAGCTTGTCGTACCATCCTCCCTTGGGGCCTCTTGGGGGCCTTCTGGAGGTTGGATGCCCCGTCGGGGGCGTTTTCGGGGCGTCTCTGGGCCTCCTGGGGGCTCCTTGGGTCGTCTTGAGGGCGCTCGTGGGCAGTCTGGCGCCGTCGGAGTCCAGCGTGGGGGCGTCGTCGGGCCGCCCTGCAGCCTGCAGGGTCGTCTTGGGGGTTTTATTGGGCTGTCTCAGGGCTCCTTGGGCAGTCTTAGAGGCCTCTTGGGCAATACTGGGGGCCTCTTGGGCCGTCCTGGGGCCCTCTCAGGCGCCTCGTGGGTCGTCTCGGGGCTGTCTTGGAGGCGTTTTGGGCCGCCTTGGGCTGACGGAAGCCCAGTAAGCCGAGAATGGAGTTGACCCACTCGGGAACTCCTGGATGTCCTTTTGGAACCCTCGTGGGCCGTATTGAGGGCCTCTTGGGCTGCCTTGAGGCCATCTTGGGCTGCCTTTGAGGGCCATGCTGGGCCGTCTTGGAGATATCTTGGGCCATCTTGGCGGCCTTGGTGACCTCCCAGGGCGTGCTTGACTCGGCGCGGCAGGTGCTGCGCTGCGGCGACCTTGGTGGTCGTCGCGGCCGCGTCGCGGCCGCACCTGCCGCGCGGAAGGTGCAGAAGGGTGAGATCGAGGTTTATCCTCCTCGTCCTCTTTCTCCCCCTTGTCCCTCTTGCTTCTCTTCCTTTTCCTATTCATCGTCGTCCTGCCGCTCCTGGCTCCTCGTCGCCGTCGTCCTGCTCGTGCTCCTCCCTCCTCCGCACCGCTGCAGGGACCTAGTTTGAAGGCCTCCCCGAGATGGGACAGACGCCTGTCAATGGCATCACTGGCAGGGCCTTGGGGCTGTGCGCAGAGACAGCCTCAATACGTAGTCTCGGCTGGCCTCGACGGGCCCGTCTGGGCAGCCCGGTGAGTTCTCGGCGCCCCAGTGCTGCCTCTGGCGGCGCGCCTGTGCGCCCCGCCCCCGGACCGCCTGGGCCACCAGGAGTCCCCTGTTGAGGCCAGCTGGGGCTTCTCCAGGGGGCTGTCCGTGAGCAGCACCAGACCCTGCCAGCATCCACCACACGAAGGACAGCGTCTGGAGCCAGCAGCCCCTGTGGAAGAAGTATGAGTGGATGGGCTACCACTGGAGGCCTGGGCTGCCAGAGGACAGGCTGATGGACCCCCCTTTCTTCCCGATGGTCAACAACTGGCCCTACCCCTACGGGACCAAGGCCGTGGCGGTCCACCCGCTCCCGTGAGAACCAGTGGGCCAAGAAGGACGATAGAGGCGACGCTGGCCAGGTCGAGGCTCGACATCAGAGCGCCGCTCAGTCTGAGTGATACGGGGTGCCCCTATAGACTCGGCCCTGGCACGTGCGATCGCTCCTTCGGGCCCCTGGTCCTCCTTGAAGCAGAGGGGCCGCCGCCCTTGCCGCCAAGGGCTCGTGGGTGTCGCCGGAGGCCGCCCTGCGCCACAAGTGGTTCGGCAACTTCGCGGGGAAGATGAAGGAGTACGCCAGAGAGCGCAACGCCCACATGATCGGCGAGGGCGTCGTGGCCCCCCCGCCTTGCACGCCCCAGCCCATCTGCCAGATGCTCGAGGCCGGCGAGGGGAGAAAGCGCCCCCCCCCCCCACCCCCAATTGGCACCTCCGGGGAGGGGTGATAGGGGCCAGGTGGGGGTTGGGGTCAACGTCTTGTGTCGGTGTGGCGAGACGCCCTCACGATCGGGTTTCGACCATCTCCGGGCCAGCTGGGGGGCCAGATGGGGGTGCTTGGATGGGCGCGGAGGTTGCTAGGCGAACAGGGTGGTTTAAAGTGGATGCTAATGTAAGTTGCACCTAGCCTTGCTTAGCTTATAAGTGGGGGCGGAGATCTGGCCTAAGTGGGCGGAGCCCACTTCCTGGAGTTAACCAACACTCTCAAGTCGATTCGGGCATTTGTAACCCCCTTATAAAACCCACCTCCACATCCACTTTCAACAGCCTATCGCCTCAGCAAAAGCCGCGCTCACCCAACTGTCAGCGGAACTGTCAGGGGGGATAGGCCGAGGGGGGATGCGTCGACCCCCAATCGCCCGTTCATCGCCGATCGGGGCCTGATAGCCCATTCCCGCCCTGGAACGTGCGGACTCGGCATCGGGGGCCTATCGATCTTCCGGCGATGCATCGCCGATTCCAGCTCGATGTTGTCCCCCCTGAGTTGATGCCCTGCTGTTGTCCCTCAAAATCGTGCGGTACCAACTCATGGGAGCCTTGCGTGTCCTCGCACAACTCTGTCTTTAGAGTGCACGAGCATAAAGCGCCGATTTAGCGTTGACCAGCGTGGACTGGCGTCGATGCGTGTCGATCTGGCCTCGACGAGCGTCGATTGGCGCCGGCTAGCATCGGTTCGCCAGAGCAAGCAATGTGGCATGGGAGGCCCCCGTGAGTTGCCACGGCAAAGTGAGCGACGCAAAAGAAAAGGTCGTCTGCGCCAGCATTGGCGCGTAAGCTGCCCGCGCAAGGTCGCGCGTAAGCGCCCTCGTCTCCAATGCAGCGTGCCGCGCCGGCGGTCCGCGTAAGCCGCCGCGTACGGTTGCTATGTCATCTCGCGGAAGACTCCTTTTTTAATCGTCGCCCTAATGGGGGCCCAGAGATCCGGTCGCTCCAAGTTTTTCGATGCGTGGGCCCCTGAGGTCTGAACCACTTCCCAAGGGCTGGTTTTCCGTCCCGAGTCGTTTCTTTTGCCGGTCCCGAAGCTCAGCGAGGGCCCCCGGAGGCCACAGACGGCCCAAGACCCGCCGCTCCAATTGTGTTGGAGCGCCAGATCTCTGGCGGGGGGCTTCCCGGCTCACCCAGGACATGGCTCGTTTCGATTCCGCCGATTCGATTCGATTCGATTTCGATGGCTTCCGGTTCCGATTCGATTCGATTCGATTTCGGATTCCGATTTGGTCTCCGATTTCTCAACGGAGGCAGACAAGCCTGCCGATTCCCGCCGATGCGACCCTTCCCGACTCGGCTGCCGATCTCCGCCGATCCGATTCGGGCCGATCGCCGCTCCGACTCGTCGATTCGATTCTGGGCTCTCCCGCACGAGTCGGGCCGGGCGAAGGGGGGGGGTTGGGAAAGGGGGGGTTACGAAATTTGCTGCATGCAGCTGGTTTCGGCCTCACCGAGGGGCCCATTCCTCGATACATGGCCGCCTCCGGCGCCGGGAGGCGCCGGGAAAATCAGCTACGTGAGCTGATTCTCAAACCCCCCCTTTGCTATCCCCCCCTTTCGCCCGACCCGAACGAGGGCTCCGCCCCGCCCCCCGCGGCGCTCTGTGCGCCCACGGCGCTCCGCGGCCCGCGGGGCGGCGCAGCAGCACGCGGCGCCGCGGGGAGCCCACG